GTTATGAATGGTATTTTTATCTATATATGGTTATGAATGGTATTTTTATCTATATATGGTTATGAATGGTATTTTTATCTGTGTATGGTTATGAATGGTAATTTTATCCATATATGGATATAGATATATTTTATCTCTATATGGTTATAAATATATTTTATCTAAATATGGATATAAATTATATTTTTATCTCTATATGGTTATAAATATATTTTATCTCTCTATGGATATAGATCTATTTTATCTCTCTATGGATATAAATTATATTTTTATCAATTCTCTGACACTAATTTACCTCTGGGCCCACACTTTCACTGCCCCCCTGTGACTGTTGTGTTTTTGTGCCGCAGGTTTCCGAGCTGGTGACTCAGTACAAGCGGGAGCACCTGACGGTCTGGGGGAACGTCAACTATGAGATCGTGTCCAAGTGTTTCAAGGAGGTGAGGATGAGCCCAGCTGAGCTTTGGGCTTGCCTGCCTGCTGCTGTGTGCTCACAAAATGTGCATTTACAGCCTGTAAAGCCAGGTTTAGCTAGGCCAGACTTTACTTGTGGGGAGAGACTTTGTGCTTAGATTGTATTCTGCTTTACTCTACTGCTGAAATAAGTCAGGCACAGTTAACACCCCTGCACTCTGCAATAAAATACTTGAGGAATTAACCTTAATCATATTTTATTCTTGTTTTATCTAATAAAGGGCATTACAGGTTTATGCCAGGTATCCTTAGAGCCTGTTTTGCACATCATTCATCTGATAAAAGGCAATTTTTCTAAGGATTGCTTGTTGCCTGTTTCTTTTCATGAAAATAATGGATGTGGCCACCAGTTGACAGAGTTGCATCAGTATAAGGCTGTTGTGCAAATGTAATTCTATTCCTTCTTGTGCTGAGGAATTTAAAATTGTGCTTATTCCAGGGGATTTCAAGTTACCAGAAAGAGAAATCCAAGTTTGGTGGCAGGAGTATGTATAGAGCTTCATAGATAAAGAGTTGGCAGCTGAATCTTTAGGTGCAACTAATAAAAATTTTTAAACGTGCACTGATGATGTTCTGTTGTCTTGCTGGGATCATAAATGGCTTTTTAGTTCCTGAGCTGTTGTATTTGCAGTTCTGTGGTTGCAAAGAAAGATTTATATGCTTGGAAAAAGACTTTTTGATTTAAATCCCTCTAAGTTCAGGTTGGTTTTTTTTTCCCATTTCAAATTGAAGGCTAAAATATTAAACATACATTGATGAGTAAATTTATTTGCAGCAGCCTGGACAATCTACCAAGATAACTGAGAGTCTTTCTTTCCTGGTTCCTGCAGAACTCTGACATTGCCACCATCTTCTGTGCCCAGCGTGTCCTCCTGCTCCTTGGCCTCTTCTACACTGGCCTGCTGCCCTTCATTCCCTTCAGGGAGGAATTCTTTGAAATTCCAATGCCTTCCATCATCCTCAAGTGAGTCCCAGTCCCAGTGTAACCCAATTCCAAGTCACTGTCTCAGTCAGTGAAATTACTGCTCTAATTTGAGCAAGGGCAACATTAATTCTGCGTGTTCCTCTTGCAGGAACATCTCAAATCATATTTTAATCTGAGCTCTGATAATTTTATTTCTTCTTCCTCAACAGGCTGAAAGAACCACAGAAGATGTCAAGAAGCCAGAAATTCATTATCTGGTTGGCTGACACGTAAGATTTTCATCTGATTAAATTTTTATTTGTAGTTTGCCTTTATATTAACAGTTGATTTAAGCAACTAAGACTAGCTGTTGCTGTAACTGTGTGTTATATTTTTAAAGGTTTTTCCAGCTTTTTGTCAGGATAAATTGTATTCAAATCTTATGCAGGTGTCCTGTATGCTTTTATTTTTCATACTCTGGAGCAGTGCAGTAACAGTGGGCATTGAGCCTATTTAACTTCTGTTTTGAAGTGTGTTCAGCTGATTAACATGCAATTAAATGCAGATTTCATGGATGTGACTGCTCCACAACGTTGTCAGGGTTGCCTTACAAGGAACCCTTTGCATTTTAAGGATATCAGTGCTTCAGAGGGATCTTAGTCACGGGCTCTGAGGCTGCAGGGAGTGTCTCCTGGCTCTTGCTTCTGCCTCTGACACGTGTTAGTTTAATTTCTCAAGTGGCCACTGGAATTTTCATGTCTTTTGGTGGGAAGGATAAAATCTCTTCCGAAAGCAAGAGGGTTGATTCATCAGCTGTACCAGGGGTGAAGGATTTGTCTGCTGGATTTGAGCTTCAGCAGGTTGATAAAATAACCAGAGCTAATGCAGATTTCTGGGTGTCAGCATTGACCAGGCTGGAGCTGCCTGAACAGGAAGTTTCTCTGTAATGAGCTTTCTGTTCGCTTTCTTGTGGAAATATTTACAGAGCACCAACAGACATTGGAAATTTGATGTGTGTTTGAAGTTCTCTCTCTTTTCCACAGGTTGCTAATGAGGAAAGCACTGTTTGACCACCTCACAGCTCGGGGCATTCAGGTACAGTGGGGCAAAGCTAAAGAAATGTGCTTTTAACCCAGTGAGAACTGATTAATTGTGGGTTCATGTTCTCCCCAGTGTCTTGCTGGGATGATAAATAGCTTTTTAGTTCCTGTTGTGTTTGCAGTTCTGTGGTTGCAAAGAAAGATTGGTATGCTTGGAAAAAGGCTTTTTAATTTAAATCCTTCTAAGTTTGTTTGGTTTGGGTTTTTTTTTCCCCCCATTTCAAATTGAAGCCTAAAAATCTGTTTATATACCTGTTGTGGAGTTTTCACAGAACATTATTTGACTTCTAGAAAGATCTGAAGTCTTGGTGAAATGGAATTGGAGCCACCACTAAAAACTGTCCCTCTTGGAAGGGCATGTTTGTGTGCAGGTCTTTGGCATCATAAGGGAATAATTGATCATTTTAAAAATATGTGGCATCATCTGTCTCACATGAAACAACTGAGGTCAAAAGTCACCTTTAAAAAAAAAACAACTTAGTATTTCCTGTAATAATTTGTTCTTCTATCCCATCTTAGGTGTATATTTGGGTACTGAATGAAGAACAAGAGTACAAGAGAGCATTTGACCTTGGAGCAACTGGAGTGATGACAGACTATCCCACAAAACTGAAGGAGTTTTTGCATAATTATCCAGCATAAAAGAAGAAAACTGAGGAAGTTCTTGCAGAATAGATTGTGAGCCAAGGATTTTCTTCATTAAAAAAAAAAAATTGGGGGCAGCATCCACAGATCATTTTGCTGGAAAGATGTAATTGGATGATCTGTTTACCTTGTTGTCAAGTCACTACCTAATGTAAAGGTTGTCTATTTATTTTACAACTGTAACCACATAGTTTACATCTGTAAATAGCTCATTTAGCAATGGCACACTTCACAAATTGTGATGACTAGGAAGAGAGTTGGGTACCTGGAGATAATGAGCATTGTTTTACCTGTCACAAGTGTTCCTATGCAGGTGTCAAGACACGTCAGTTATTCCAGTTGTATCCTGGTGAGCAGAAACTGGAGAATTTCTGAAAGTGTAACCTGTGTGTTTGCATTTCTTGTGTTGCTTTTAGTTTTCAGGTAACTTGTAGAGCAAAAGGAAAAAAAAAACAAACCAGGCACAGGAGAAATAGCAAAGCAGAGCCTGTGTGTGGCCAGGTGGTTTAAGCCTGTGAAGTGCAGTCAGTAAAAGTGGTCACTTTTTAGCCAAAATTAACTCAGTCAGGATGGATTTACTCTGTTATTCTCCCTGGCAGGAATGCTGGATTTGAGTTGCAGCTGGTTTTAGACCCTTTGTGATGTGATGGTAATACTGTGACTTGTTGGTCAAGGTCTAAATACAATATTTGAGCCAGGATCTAGGTTTGACACTGAGTTCCAGCTCAAGGCTCCAGGTTTGCCCCTGGTCTGAGCTGACCTTGGCATGGCAGTGTGTGGCTTTCCAGAAAGGCAGATTGCACTCACCCCAGCTTACACTCACTTTGAAACAGCCTTTTCACAAAGGAACACAATGTCCTGGAAGTCTTTTGCACATTTTGATGAACAGGAAATCGTTTTTAGGGTGAGGGACCAAAGAAGACTTAAGTTTGGTCAGGAGTTCCTATCAGATGAATTCACCCAAAGCAGGTTTTTATCTATAAAGGGAGAAAGTGTCAGTCTGGTATGTGTGTAAATTTTAATCTTTGCTCTCCACAGAAGTCCACTCAATAGCCATAAAGTTCACGTGCATGGACATGGAAATAACTTCCCTGGCAGAAGCCAGGAAACCCCAGGGGTTGTGGAATGGGATCAGGCAGGAGGGTGTTTCTGGAATACCCTCACATGCTGCCCTGTCCTTGGGAGCAGGTGGTATCCATGTGCCAGACAGATTTGAGCCTGCAGTGCCCCTGTGCTTTGGTGTGCCCATGTCAGTGCTTGAGGGGGCAGAAGGAGTTTAATTACTGTGGCTTGACTGTACCCAATGCCATGTATAAAGCTCAGTCATCTCATCAGCAGAGACTGTCACTAAACACTAGTTTTTATTCCAGCAGTATCTGTTCCCTTCACATGAAAATGATGGATTTCAATAATAAATACAGTGGCCAGGTGCAGGAGTGTGTTCATTGCAAGGTACACTCACTGCTAGGAGGACTTGGAAAGTCATTTTCCCCTTGGTAGCTCAGGTATGGCAGGGCAAGAACCCTCCCAGATTTGTCATCGTGGAGCATCTTTGCTGTGTCAGATGTCTGTGAGGAGGCTGCTGGAAAGCCAAATCCATCTGCATGGATAGTGCTTTGTTTCTGCATTACAGTTCCTTTCTGAGGAATATTTCTGTTGGATGAAATGGAAGAAACTACTGAATTTGGGATTTAAGTGATTTTACTGATGAGTTAATGGTGTCCTTTTCAATATCTGCCTGGTTAAGGTGACTGCAGATTCCATTTCCTCCTGATTTAATCACCCTTGTTGCTTATTGAATGGAAGAGAGGAAAAAGTATCTTCTTAAACTGTTCAGGGGAAAAAGGAGGAAATGATTTTTTATGTACTAAGCTTTTTTGTTTCCCTTTCAGATCAGTTCTGTCTGGTCAGATAAGTTCTAACAATGAGCCAAGTCATAGCTCTGCCTCCTTTCTAGAAGTCACAGAATAGTTATAGAATAGGCTCCATATGCAGCTCAGTAAGTAAATTAAAAATTCCACCTTTCTGTCTTAATCTGGGTTAATACCAGTTTGTAGCCCCAGGCAGTTTTTATGCAGTGTGGTTTCCTTAAGCTCAGTTTTATTGCTATTGAATTTCCAACACATGCACCTCAATTAAAGATAATTCTGGTTTTAGAGGTTGCTACCAAATAGCACTTACACATCAAAACCTGTTTTGTTTTTTTTTTAGGCTAGGAAGAACTAAGTTTTAAAATACCATTTTTAATCTCTCAAGGGACACGTGATGACTTGGTTTGTCTCTCAAGTTCCCCCCATCACTGACTAAATAAACTATTTTGCATTATTCTTTATTGAATGGCAAAACACAGATGTAGTTTTTTAATTTTAATATTTTTCCTCTCTAGCAGCAGTGTTGGAAATTTCTGCCTTCAAAGATGCTCAACACATTTTTCAGCCATTAGACCCAACCAATCTTCCCACATCTGCTGTAGCTCTTGACTGTGCTGTTTATACATGACCTTGGATAAATCTGCTGCTCAATATCTGGAATTCAAGTGAGGCAAGTTACATGGGAGGGAAGGGCTTCAGTGCTGGAAAAGCTGCTGAATTTATCCATTCACCTGTTTGGGCTTTAGCACAAGACTAAAATTTGGTCTCTTGAGACAGATGATGGTTTGTGGGTGATCTGAGCACCAATGCCCAGGGCTCAGGCCATGATAACTGTCTGTGACAAAATAACATGGGTTTGAGGCAACTGTTGAATGTTTGCTGTATCAAGTAATTGTTTTAAATATTCCACAACTCCCTGTGTGATTTTTTATTTTATTTATTTTTTTTTAACCCACTGGTGCAGAAAGGCTTTTGTTGGGAACTTGCACAACTGTCCAGGAGGATGTTCAGTTGATCTCTCTCTTCGAGGGGAGATTCTTTTCAGGTACTTTTAACTCTAAGTATTGTTTTAACACTTACTGTGCTCTCAACCCTGCTGCAGGATATTTGATGTATGAAGGATGATGTGTGTATTTCATGCACTTTTAATTTGCAGGAAGCCTCTGTAGCTCCAAAGCTAGGAAGGGTTTTCCCTTTTTGTGTAAAGTGAGATCGACGCTTTTGAAATGTGACCCATGGAAACGTCTTTGCTCATAAAAGATCTAAAACTTAAACACTAATTGTGACTTCTTTGCCTAAGAGCCTCATTTCTGTGATGCTGATTTTATATTTGCAGTGTAGTAAACGTTGAGCTTTTGATGGTGGTCCTGTGTTAAATGTGCTGTTTGGTGTTTACCCAATTTGCTGATGAATGGCCTGGTTTGGGTGCACATTTGTAACATTACAGGTCAGGTTTTGAAAGCACTGACAAAATCACCTTGTGCAGCCTGGTTCTAGACATCAGACTCATTAGTTTAATTACAGAGTGTAGCAGTTCCCAGCTGTGGATGATGTCACATCCTATTTATTATGTAAATCACACCTGAATGGAATGGGGGAGTGAAAATGCTGAGGAGCTGCAGGTTGAAATGAGAGCCTTCACTGCAAAATGGCTGTGTCTGCTTTTTTTTTTTTACTTGATTAATAATATTCATCTATTTGGTCTCTGAAACAGTGAAGAGCTGATAATTTACACTTTAAATTATTTTACTGTGGCCTTTTAATTACCCTTTAAATTATTCCTTTCTGTGATGTCCGAAGGACACTTTTTCTGTCTCCTCCACAATGTCTTCCACCTGCTCCCTTTTCTAGGAGATTTATGGTAAGATTGGGGATGATCAATGAAAAATCAATGGATTATTGAGTATAAACAGCCTCTGGGAGTCGACAGGTTGATTTGGGGACAGCAAAGGAGCTGTTTTGAGTTTGTATTGACAGGAATTCCACTTGCAGAATTTTCTGTACACTGTATTGTCCTGTCTGATGATGAGCAGGTTAACATTCCCTCTAGTCCTGGAGATAAATTTCCAGCTTTCCTACTGGATTTTCATTAAATAACATTAAATATTAGGTTTTAAGGTCAAGTGTAATTTTAAAGCCTTGAGGGGTTCCTATTAGGTGAAGTGGAGGTTTGTATGCAATGGTGTTCAGTAACTTTTAAAGGATTTGGGCAGGGTGATGAGAGGGTTCCCCAGGTTGCTCTGGATGGTATTTTATTTTTTTATTACACATTCCAAGTGGTTAATAAACCAGAAGATGGAATTGGGAAGCATTAACGAGTAGTTACAGTTTTTGAAGATGGAAAGTGTTTGCCTGTGGTCCCTTCAGGTTGTGTAACCTGTCATAAAGCAAACAGATGATTCAGGAGATTTTCAGAATCCAGGAAATTTGGATTTCTTACCCAAAGCAAGAAGACTCGAAGTGCAGGTATTTTAAAGAACATTCAGAATATACTTTTCTCCACTGATGAGCAAGAGAGGACGGATAAAATCCCCGGAGAACGGATGAACTGGCGTAGGAAACACGAGCCACCAAACCTGAACAAATCCACGGCTCCGTCCCTACCGTCCTCCTGCCGCAGGAGGCCGCCACAGCCCGCGCATTCCCCGCGGATTCCCGCTGGATTTCCAGGGAGCTCCGTGCTCCACGCGGCGATTCCCAGCAGCCAGAGGGATGGGGAACCTGCAGTGCAGAGCTGGCTTAAAAACGGAGGCTCGTCCAGCTCTGCAGGTTCGGAGTTTTTTGGGGCTGGTTGAGCTGGGCAGTGGGGTTAGGGAGGGTGGAATTCCCACTTCTAAACCCTGGGATTTTCCTGTGGGAAGGAATAGGAGTGATCAGCTGTAGGCAACGAGTTTTACAGCCTCACAGCTGATGTCTTGGTGATTTTAAGGGATGAGGTGAAGGATTGGGGAGCAATTACAGGTGGTTGGACCTAAAATTACGATGCTGTGAGTTAGGGAAGAAAAACTACTTCTGTCACTGATGGAAACACCTGAAGTGCTTGAGGATGTTTCTGAAAAAGTCTGAAATATTCCCAGTTTACAAATGAAGAAGAAACCTCATCTGATCCTGTCTATCTTAATGACAAGGCCAGTAGCACCAGCTGCAAACAGAATTTGGGAATGCTCAGAAACTGAGGTTTTGATCAGATTTTAAGCACCACTTGGAGTGCAGCACTGAAATGTTGAGGCATCAACCTGATATTCCCCCCCTCTCACTATTGCCATGGCAAAAGTGACCCCCAGGCAGTGATGCTTCATCTGTTGGGGCTTTTTTGGTCTAAAGGGTAATAAAGATTTAAAAGGTTTCCTACTGATCAGAGGAACAGCAGCTGTGCTGCTCAGGCTCCAAAAAAAAAGTGGGTGTTTGCAAATAGAGAAAATTTAAAAATCCTGCTGAGCTGCTCAGTTGAAAGTTACAGGTTAGAGCCAAAATTCAGAGTTTATTTTTTTTTTTTAAATGAATAAATTTCTCCCAAGCTCAGCCCAGCAAAAGTCTCGTGGTGCTGCTCAAGCTGTGCTGGAAAAGTTTGCAACCAACCTCTGTGACCAGAATCAAATGTGAAAAAGTGACTTGAAACCTCAAGGAGAAAGTTGCATTTAACCCAGCCAGCATTTTATTTCTCAAAAGGCAGTGAAATGCTGCTAATGAAGCACTGTTACCCCTAAAAACCTTCTAGTTTTTGTAAATTATGTGGATTTAGAACCTAAAGAAGAAATGTTGGCCTTTTATGGTGTTATTTTTCTGTGTGAACCCCCCGTGGTGAGGCTGAACTTCCATCAATATAATTCCAATTAATCACCACCCTAAAACAGGCTTCTTACAGCAGAAACCTTTGTATGTATGTAAAGAATCTTGATGTTCACCTTGTAAATATAATGTATTTTTATCAGCAAACTGAAAATTCTGCTGCAGAGGTGGGAAAAGAACCAATTTCACTGCTCTGCATCGAGCAGCCTCTTGATGATGCAAATTCATTTTGCTGGTGGCTTCTTGTGGTTACTTTCCACAAGTCTGGGTGATTTAAAGTTCAAGCAAAGTTTGTCACCACTTCCTGCAGATAACCTTGTGCAGAAACGTTCAGTGCAGCTCAGTTTCAACGCAGCAACTTTCTTCTTTATTGAGTGTATTTAACAGCTACTGACTACCTGGGTGCTTGAATCTTCAAGAATGGAATATTTGAAGTGTGCAGGGGGAAAAATGTAATTTTTTTAAATTTTAAAAACCCTTTAGCCAGCTGGCACCTGCTTAGTAATGGGATCAGAGGGGTATGGAAGAAAAATAGATTTCATTTATATCACAAGGTAGGTGGTTGTATTTCTACCCACAGGTAATAAGAAAGAATATCACAACTAATAGGAATATTGCCTTTTCTCACCCCTCACGTAGTATTATTCCATATATTTAACACTTGAACCAGATCATTGCCCTTTCAGTCATTAGGAATTTACCAATTACTGCAGAGTTGCTTAAAATATTCAGAATTTGCTAAAGCAGTAGAGTGTTAGAGCAAGAATAAGCTCATAAAGCAAATATCTCTCAGCCCAGAAGATGTAGAACTTTCATCCTTGTCTGTGAGGAAAGGGGAGAGAGGAAACATTAATTAAAAGCCCCATCCCTGGAAGTGTCCAAGGCCAGGTTGGACGGGGCTTGGAGCAACCTGGGGTGGAACTGGGTGAGCTTTAAGGTCCCTTCCACCCCAAACCAGCCTGGGATTATGAAACCTGTGTTTGTACAGTGATGAATTACTGTTATTAGCACTCAAATGCTGAGCTGTGTGTGCTGGGACCAAAAAGCCTTCAAATTACCTCGGTCGGAGCTGCTGGGAGCTCGTGTCTTAATTAGGGTGCTCGGAGAGGGCAGCTTTTAATTGTGCCCCTGCCCTTTTCGGGGTCAGACGTGTATGCACTGGGGCTCTGTGAGCACAGCTGCGCTGTTTGGGCACAAGATTCCCAAGATCACCGCTGGAGAAAACCCTGGGATGGAGCTGATGGAGATTTCCAGCAGAAATACGGAATATCTTCATTTTGCAATTAGTCCTCGGAGAAGCCGGGGTGGTATTGGTGGATTTTCGGGCTGCGTCTGGGAACCGCTCCGACCCCGGAGCAGCAGGCACCGCTAATTACCGCCGTTTATTAACGCCAATT